TTTCCGTTCCACGTTCTCTTAAAACCACTTCTTGACATTTTGCATTGTTATGGATGCATCTTTCTTTTTTGCATCTTTGTAAGTGGTGGCGATGCTACCAAACCCAGCCTGATCGTAGTAGATCTCACTGATTATCTTGTCTTTTTCACTCATATATATATATATATATAATACTATAAAAAATATCAGTGTGCTATTTTATCACTGAAGCATCTATTACAAGAAGCACAGAAGGCAGTGACATTGTCCCCTTTGACCGTTTTAAGCGTTTTTTGCACCAAAAACGGAGCCAGACGGAGCGGTGACAAAGGCGGTGACAAGTTCGGCGGGCTGACGTACAAGTTGAAACCTCGGCGGGCTGCCACGCTCCGAGCCAGATCCTCGGCGGGCTGTCGGGCCGCGGAAAACCCTGCGACTCCAAGCTTGGAACTGAGCCGCTTTTTTTGCGCACTTTTTCAACAAAAGCAAGGTGACAAAGCGGAGGCGAACGGTGACAAGCTCAACGGGCTGGAATTTGCATGCTTTTCCGGGCAGAAAACGGAATCCAAGCACGGGAACGTCTGGAGCGTCCTAGTCGCATTCTGTGCGTCTCGGAAGTTTAAGTTGCCCGGGCTTAAAGCGCTGTTTGTGGCCTTGTAAATGCGTTTCTGTTGCGGAGCTTTGTGGCTCGAAAAGCCTGATAAGTGCTTTCTAAGCGCAACGGTGACTCAGAGCAGAAGGTTGGTTGGGTTGGAATTCTCTTGGCCTCATTTGCTGCATGTGGGCCTTGGGTTGCGTCTCCGTCAATCCTGCGCCGGCAACAGGATTGCCCCGACGCAGCACGAGCAGCTCGGGCTTGGAACTGTTCTTGCCCGTGACGGAGGCGGCCCCGCTGTAGAGCTCCCGGGCCTCCGGCGCGTCGAAGGCCAGGTTGTGGCCTCGCGCCGTAGTAGTTCATGACACGACCGGGGAAAATATAGGGAGGGTCCGCGTAAATGCATTGCTGGGGTGCTGGGTAGGGCAGCGCTCGCAGATAGGCCAGCGCATCCTGGTGCCGCACGGTCACGTTGGACGGTGGCAGCTGCAGCCGCCGCACGCAGCTCGGGGGCAGTGGCTGCTGCTGCCGTGCGAAGGAGCCCCACTTTCCTGAGAAGCTGTTGCGCAGCAGGGCGTATGTGCAGGCCGCCCGGCGCCCGGCAGGAGGCGCCTGAAGTAGAAGCGCGTGTCCACGTCGCGCCCCGCCAGGCGCGCCAGGGAGCGCGCCGGGTCTCGCCTCAAGTAGCAGCGGTGCAGGTTCACGACGGGCTCGAACGTGTCCGCGCCACGCACCTCAGGCCCGGGCCGCCGGGCGCAGCACCGACACGTCGCCCAGCAGCAGGCCAGCCACGACTTGCTGCCCATATACTTCAGCTGCATGCCGGCGTTTACTTTCAGGTCCCGGACTCGCTGGCCGGCTTCCGGAACTTGCGTAACGCGAAAGCCATGCGCGGGCATCTTCCTCGGGCCCAGCAAGTCGGGCAAGACCGTGGCGCTCATCAGCCTCATCCTGGAGCAGTACAAGTTTGAGCGGATCTACGTCTTCAGCCCAAGCGTCAACATCGATGATGGCTGGATCCCCGTCAAGAAGTACATCGAGCAGGACCTGGAAATGAACACGGAGCGTGAGCAGGCTTACTGGGACGAGTGGGATGAGTCCGCCTTGCGGCGCATCATCCAGCAGCAGCGCAAGATCACGGAAGCGTCCAAGAAGTTGGAAATGAAGAAACTGTACCAGGTGCTTGTAGTCATCGACGACTTTGCTGACGCCGCAGCTCCACAAGCCGCACGGCGCCCTTGACACGCTCTTCATCTGAGGCCGTCACACGCAGATCAGCACCTGGGTGAGCTCGCAGAAGCTGAGGCCGTGCGGGTCAACATGCATTTCCTCTGCTGCTGGAGGCTGCGCAACCAGCACAAGCTGGGCCGTCATCGAGGAGCCTTCTACGTCCGCCTAGGCCCCCTTAGTCTTCTGGGTGCCCCGGGCCTCGCTGTTGCGTCGAGGCTTGGCAGGTCTGGATCATGGGCAAGCAATGCGGCCTGGTGGAGGTCCGCGACCTGCAGGTGAACCCCGGCACGGGCGGGGACTCTTGCCCCTTCTGAAACTGCATTCTTTTTATCGTGGATGTCAGACGTAAGCGAACGCGCCCGCAACTGACCCCGGCGGCCTCGAGGGGCCTGGGACTCGCAGCCCGCCAACCTCGAACCTTTGGATCTTGCTGCCGCCGGTCACTTCAGGAAGGTCGCTCCCTGTCGGGACTCCTTGAGGCAGCTCTGCCACCTGTCCTTCACATCGCCGTAGTCGCCCCAAATGCGGCTCGACCGCGAAGACAGCTCGTTAACGCACCTCTTCTCGAATTCCTCCCAGGCCGCCCAGGCCTCGGAATCCCTTTCCATCGCAAAGCAGGCGTTCTGCCTGGGTCTTTGGTCCTCGCCGAAGCTGCGTGTCCACGCGGACTGCCACTTCCCCTCGCACCTTAGGGGCGCCGACTTGGCGCCCTTGGGGCTCGTCTGTACCTCGCCCAGGGCCGACGCTTTGGTCGGACCATCTTTTTATACTCGCTCTATAAGAAAAGGACCGGCAAGCAAAATCAAGATGACTACCATCGCCACAAGCGTCGCCCTCGGCTCACGCGGCTCGAGGGCCGCCATTTCCGGAAAAAAACACATTTTTGTTTGTTTTTCCGTAAATTCAGTTTTGCGTGGTTTTTGAGCGTGATTTTGCATGACAGGTTGCCGGTGTTGCGTTTTTCTCACGATTTTCACGTTGTCGGTCGTGTTTGGAAAGAGCTTCCCCAAGCACGTGAGCCTTGTGAAGGCGAGATTCGGGGACGTTCTGGGGTCCGGGCGGCAGGGGAGTTGCCTTTTTGTCACTTTTTGTTGGCCGCTTGCAGGTGGATCCAATTCGTGCTACCGGGGACTCTTTGGCTGGGCACCTGTGCGGATTGGTGTCAACTCGGCCTTTGAGCAGTGTTTCAGGTTTGGTCCTGGATTTTGAAGGTCGTGTTTTCGCGCTTCCCCGTGCCAGGCTTTGTTTTGACATCGAGGCATACTGCCCGGGCCTTCGCTGCTTCCGTTGTCATGGCCATCAATGCCAACTGATCTTTGAGGTTTGGGTCCCAACTCGCCAATCTGTCAGGCCCCTTGATCTTTGGCCTAGCGAGGCCCGGACACCCCCCCCCCGTCCCGTGCCAGGATTTGCGCGACTCGCGTTGCTTTTTTGTGTGCTTTTCCCAACCCCGTCAAGCCGCGCCGTCAGGCCCGTGTATCTTTGTAAATCGTGACCTCGTTGAGCCAGGCCCGCATTTTGTATTGTCTCTCCAACCTGGTGAACCCTTGACCTTGAGAGCGATTGCCCCAACCCCGTCAAGGCCAGGTTTTTTGTAAGTCAGGCAGTGTGGTTTCCTCAAAATCGTTTTTTTTTTCCTGGCGCTCAGGCACTCCGAACTTTTGAGCTTGCGCCTCGAGCTCCACGTTCCGCCCGGGCCCTCGCCGCGTTCCATTGTCATGGCCAAGAGGTCCCGTGCAGGTTATTGTCATTTGATCTTTGTCACCAATCTGTCAGCCCCTTTGATCTTCCCAGTGCGGCCCTGACGGTGGGGTCCCTGGGGTCCCTGGGCACGCGTGCGTCCGCAGGTGCCATGAAACAACGTCCTTCCATCAAGACGTCTCGCCAGGGTCCCAAAGTGCATCCATCCTTGTCAACACACGGCGTTTTCAGGGATTTTAGGGACCCCAGAAACCTTACGGACCCTAGGGACCTTAGGGACCCTAAGGGACCTTAGGGACCCCAGAAACCTTAGGGACCCCAGCAACCCTGCGTCTTGGGGGCAAGAGATCCTGTGAAGTGTGAAGTCATCTCTCAAGCTTCGGTTGGTTGCAGCTTGCCACGCAAGGGGACACAAAGACGCGTGGAAGGGCAAAGCTTCTGTTGTTTTTCCATTCGAGCAACTTTCCATACATCTATTTGTCTTCGTGTACTCATATCTATTTATTTTCATACATTTATATCTTCATATCTCTACGTATTTGTATCTCTTTATGAATTTTCATACATTTATGTCTTTGTATTTCTACAAATTCATATCTTTATATCTTTGTATCTTTATACCTTTCTCTTTATATCTTTATATCTTTATGTCTTTGTGCCTTTATGTTGGTATGTCTCTACATGGTGTTTTCTACATCCGTGTTTGTAGTCGGGAGATGATGTTGTGGTGTTGTGGCCCATTTGCAATGTGCGTGTGTGTCTTGGCTTCGGCATTTTGTGTTTTTGCATGACCCTATGATGCTGGAGAATGCCCAGGCTGAGTGGTACCCGGCGTGAAGTTCTTGCCAAGATCCCTTCAAGCCCCAAAATCCTTGGGGCCACCAAGGATCTCTCGAAGTCCCTGGGTCGCTGGGTCCCTGAAGTCTTCGGAGTCCCCAGGGTCCCTAGGGTAGGGTATGCAGGGTTGCTAGGGTCCCTAAGGTCCCTAAGGTCCCTAAGGTCCCTAAGGTCCCTAAGGTCCCCAAGGTCCCTGAACCCGCCGTGCGTTGACAGGGATGAGCGCACTCTGGGGCCTTGGCGAGACGTTGATGCACACGTGTGCAGGGACCCCAGGGACTCTAGGGACTGTAGGGATTTTAGGGACCTTAGGGAACTTAGGGAATGTAGGGACCCTAGGGACCCAGGGACCCCAGAGGCCCCAGTGATCCCAGGGACCAGGGACCCCAGAAACCCCCGCCCTTCAGCCCCTGGTGGCCCGGTGCCGATTTCGGCTGCTTGTTTTGCAGGCAGGCCAGTTTGGTATCTCGCTTGGACTTTGATGCAGCGGCAGGATGTGGGTCAGCCAGTCTGACGGATGGACGCTGCGAAGCCTTGCAAGGCTTGGCCCGACCGACCTTCAGGCCGCGAGTGAAAAGGAGGAGGAGCATCCAAACCCGTGCGTTGGTGTTGCCAAAGAAGCCAGTCAATCTTGTGTTTGCTCTGGAAACTTGGCTCGAGGGTACTCATCAACACTGACACAACAACAGCTCGCAATGGTTGCCCGATGGGTCTAGTGCCAGTGCTTGAGGAATCGCAGGCCGCTCAAGCGCTTTTCGAATAGCCATGGCGATGATGCGGACCAGGACCAAAAGCCGAGGCTGGCAAGCTTGTGACGCTACCGTGCCCGCGGTAGGCAGCGGCCAGGTATGTGCCTCTGCCTTCTCGGGATTGCATTGGCGCTGCTCGTGCAGCCGAGCACGGCCTGGGTCTTGGGACACATTTTTTTCGAAGGTTTTCGAGTTTCAGGAGTCCCTTGTCGTCGCCGCCCAGGACTTTGCTCGAGGAGTTCCTGGGCTGAAGGAGCATGATGTCCCTCCTTTGGATGTTCTTGTTTCGCTGAGTGCCAGGACAGCATATTGGCCCAGTTCTCAGAGTTGCCCGCGGCGCAAGCAGATTGCACTTTGGCTCTTTCAGTCAAAACGGCACCCGTTGCATGCCGGAGTCGCTCGGCGCGCCGGGGCTGCGCAAGAGGACTCCTCCGACCCGAAGCCTGTTCGCATCTTTTGCCGCTTGCCGCCAGGACAACAGTGGCCAGGCCTGGGGGACACGTGCATCGGGCTTGAACGTTGGGCTTGTTGGTTGTCAGGACCGGCTCGATCCCGAGGAGGTGGCGGGCCTTCAGAGAAAGCGACGTCCCAGCTTCTCGCTCAGGTGGTCGCAGAAGCCGACAGGGTGCTGGAGGACAACGGCACGGCGAAAGAGACCAAAGCCGTCTGGCGCCGCTGGAGCAGCACGTGGGTCGGGGTTGCAAGAGCGGTGAAAGTGTTGAGCTCAGGAAAAGCGCAGAAGATATATCCAGGGAAGTGGACCCTTTCAGGGCTGAAAGACGAGTTGCAACAAAAACTGCGCGAGTTTGTGGAGGAGGCAGGACTGTTTGCTTCTTTTGCCAAAAGGTGAGTTCACATGTCGTGGCATTCTTTGTGACACAGGCCAAAGCAGCCTCAAAGGGCTTGAACGAGGCCGTCTGTTTGTGCGCGCCGCTTCGGCGTGTGAGTCTTGCTGGGCAGGACCTGCTCCTGGCGCGGCAGCAGCTGAAGCTTGCGCTCGCGCAGCAAGAAGCTGCCCAGGAGCAGGAAGTTAAAGCCGTCGCCAGATTGGAGAAGGCGGAGGAATCAGGCAAGGTGCAGGAGGCGGAGAGGAAGGTGGAGAAGGCGGAAAGGAAGGTGGAGAAGGCGGAAAGGAAGGTGGAGAGGGCGAAGAAGGAGGTCAAGGAGGCGAAGGCAAGCGGCCGGACGAAGGAGTCCGAGGCGGGCGGAGTTGGTCGCTTCCGCCGGCCGGCTGCGTTCTGGGACTCTGATCGTTGCGTGCGGTTCTGAAATTCCCCGCGCGGCCCGCACATGGTTTTGGTGGGGCTGCCCTGATCGCATCCAGAGAACCAGGAAATCCCAAGATAGCATTTTTGCAGATTGCGGCGGTTCGTGTCCTTGGCAGGCTCGGTATGGAGCCCCCATGAACGGATGGTTGCCTTTCCTTGTTGGAGGTCGGTCATTCCTGCCGGTCGACATTGATTGAGACGTGCCGTTGATCGTTGTGAGTGATTTTGCGCTTGCCCCGAGCCTGCTTTTGAAAGAGCAAGACCTGCCCGTCTGCCGGGGAGAGGGAGGGCAAACTCTGATGTCTTTGCACCCATTGGGGCCCTTGCTGCTGCAGGCACAAGTGCATTAAATGAATGTTCTCTTTGATGCAGTGAGCTCAACCATTCCCGGCTTTGCATTCACTCGCAGTGTTCTTGCTCGATGTTTTGCTCGTTTTGCTGCCATTCCATCCTTTTCTGTTGTTCAATTTTCTCCGTACCTGTTCATATCTGCCTGATTTGGTGTGAGTGGTTAGTGGAGCGCAAAACTATCGAATAGTTGAGGGGGAACCCCGCATTTATTGAAAGGCCTGCTTTTGTTCCAGTCGCGCTTGCGTTTTCTTGCTGCTTAGTTGCAGGGCGCAAGTCGCTTGCAACGCTACCTCGCCCCCAAGTACGTCGTGAGAGAAAAGGACATTGACGGCGAGAAGCTGCTGGTCTGCGATTTCAAGGATTCGGCAAAATTTGCCATTGTGTCCAGCGAGCTGATGCAGAATTTGACGGCGTGGGTGGAGGACTGTGTGTCTTCCCGACGCATCTGCGCCATCAATGGCATGGTAAAAACGGGAAAATCCACCGTATTGACTCGCCTTCTGCCCCAGATCATCTTGACAAAGATTCCAAATGCCGCGATTTGCGTCCTGGACTTTGCCAATTTTCTCAACGCGGGCGCCGAGCCCGGAGCAATGGAGGAAAGATTGCTGAAAGAAGTTTGCAGTTGGGCAACAGGCGCTGGGTTTGATGTGCGCCCTGCACACCAGCTGACCTTGAATCAGTTGATGGACAATTTGGATAGGTCCGGGCGTACTGTTTTTTTCCTCATCGACGAGGTTCAGAGGTTTTTCCAAGTGCAAGAGGGAACTATCCCAATCTGGGACATACTCAAGGGATTCCTCCGAGTCAGCATTGAAGACTCCAACCTGCACTTTGCCATCACGGGATCAGGCATGGTGCTGGCTTGGCAAAACTTCGTGAGGATGACTTGCAATGGATTCACCTTTCCCGGCGTGTGTCGAAGGTTTTTCCTCCCGTGGCAGAACCCCGTCCAGGAGCTGGACTATGCCAGACAGGAATTCCTGGCCGCTGCTGCCAATGAAGCCGAGCGAGAGGAACTGTCGGAGTTGCTAGGCGAGATCCCATCCGTGCCGCTAATGGCATACACAGCAGCGGTGTGGAAGGACGAACCGTCCAAGGATGACGCACAAAAACGCGTAAGCATGAAGTTGAGAAATGAGTTCGTGACGGAGATGACCCCTTTGCTGGCGGATCCAAGCCGCCACGTTTGCGGTACATTAGAGACTTGGCCAATGGTCAGGCAACCTCTGACCCAGCAGTTTTTTTTGATGAGACCGTGTACGACTGCTTCCTCAAGGCATATATTGATGAGAAGAACGGCAACTTCTCTTTTGTAAACAACCCGTGGACTGTGTGCGTGGCACGCTGCATAGACGCGCGCGGGGCACTACTGAACCAAAGCAATTTTCCGGTCCTTCAATGGTACCAGAACGAGCAAAAACTGCAGCAACTTGCGCGAGTTGGTGAGTTTGTGCAAGGCACGCTGCGGCGTTGGTGTCCTTCGCCAAAGGGAAGGAAGAATCGCCAACTGAGCATCAAGGAAAAGCAAGACCGCAGGCTGGTGGAGACCATTTGCAGGAGGCATGGAACGAAACATGGCTGGCATCCAACGAAAGGGGATCCATATTTTGAACGACTGCTGAGTTGGTCGAATGATGCTGTAAATAAGAGCATACAAAAGCGCCTGGAGGACAAAAGAAAGAAGAACAAGACGGAACCGGAACGGTTGGACATGCCGTGGTGCACCTACTTGGAGATGTTGCGCAATGCGAATGCGCATCTCAGCTCGACAACCAGAGCTGAGTATGAGGAACTATTGTTTCATTGCTTGCCGCCCCGGTCAGACTTGCTATTGGCGGCTTTGAGGAATTTCACTCTGTCCAGACCCCAGTGAGAGCCAGGCCCACGCTGTTGAAGACGTAAAAAAAACGGGTCGGGATGGGTTGATTGGTAGTAGCAGCTTGTGTGCTGGTTCAATCTCAGTTTGCCTGAATGTTGTTAGCTGTTGCAGCACAGGGGGAAGGCAAATCGTTCATGCATTTCCTTTGTGTTTGAAACGTGCTCGGAAATCAAAAAGGGCTGCCCAACCTCGAAACCCCCGCGCTGACCGGTGTGTTTTTTGCTAGCGTCACTCCCACTTGCAGTTTTGCGTGCATGGACAGTTTCGGAGCAGTCAGTTACGCTGCCACCAACCCAACAAGCACCATCATCCAGACAGCCAGGCCAGAGCACACAAAACCAAGCAACCACTGGCAAGTGCACAAGCAAGCAGGCAGGCAGGCAGGTGGGCAGGCAGGCTGGCCGAGAGAAGCAATTTGGAGCCTGTAAGCAACCAAATCGTAACTGCACCACGATCACAATTCACCGTTGAAAGAATGTAACAAGGCGGGGACGCCTTCGTCGTTTTAGGGAAACATGCACTGCTCCAACCTCAACAACCAAACCCTTGACACGACACAGACGCACTCCTCTTTTGTATCCGGGTTGCGCTGGAGTCACAACTGATGCAGGAGCGGTGCACTGCGGTGCACGGTTTCAGCTAGAGAAGGCTCTATTAACCCTCGCACTGCGGTGCCGAGGAGGTTTTTTTCCAAACCTTAGCCTGGGAACCCGGCGGAACCTCATGGTACCTAGATGGTACCTAGGCCTGCGGTGCTTTGCGCGGCGGCGCCAACATGTTGGCCAGTCCCACAAGAAACGGCGGAAATGTCAAGCCAACAGCGGAGGCACTGGAGTGCCTTGGACAGCGGCCCGTACCTGCGGGAAATGCACTACCTAACACTACGGTGTCCAAACAACCGGGTGGGGAATTAAAGCCCCGGCGCCTGGCACAGCAGCGGTGCTTGGCGTCCAAGGTAGGTAAACCTCAGTGGCAGCGGTAAAATAGAAGTTCGTGGCCTTGTTTGTAGTTGATGAACACTGAGGGGGTCCCTTGACTGGTCTACACGATTTACACCATATTGCAAACCGCTTCTTTCTGTCCTCCTGCAAGAGAACAACGCGGCGCTTCATGGCAGCTGACCCTGCAACAACCCTGACACTGCACTCTGCGACTCTTGGAGCCTGCGCTGCACCAACAAGAGACCGGACACACCAGCAATGCTTCCGGCCGCTTGCCCGTTTACCACCGGGGCCCGGGCCGTCGTACGCAAGGTCAAAAGGAACCCCTGCTGCAAGTCACGGGCACGATGCGAGTACCGACACCCCCGCGCAACACCCGCAAAAACATTGCCCCCCCCCTTACCCCCCAATTTCAATGTTGTTGCTCGGTCTTCTGTCGCACCCTGCCCCAAAAGGTCGCCCCGAAACATCTGCCACAGACAACATTGAAATTGGGGGGCCTGGGGGGGTTTGGGGGGGGCGGACCCGTAGCAGACCGCGCTTGCTCTTTACCAGGTGTGTAGAGCAAACATTGACTGCAAGTGAAACAAAATGGACATTGAACCGTAATTTCTGGGCCTGTCGACCGCTGCAAGAAGACGCCGCTGCTCAAAAGGCAGCAAGGCCGCAAAGGCCTCCAAGCCCTGCCAATCCTGCATTGTAACTTCACACGCGTGGCGCGCGCCAAGTGCCCGCAGCGCAGCCGACAGCTGACGGAGTCGCTCAAGATGGGCTTTCGCAGCTTCGTTCAAGGCAACGGGGTTCTTGAGAACAACATTTGCCTCCAGGCCAGGCAAAAGCTCATCGCCAGCCACACCGCCTGCCGACTTCAGCCAGAACACGCGGGGGAAGACGAAGTACGGTCTGGTGGTCATGGACGTCTTTATCCGGGAGGCTGCTGTGGAGCCTCTACAGAACAAGAACGCCGAAGCGGTCGGCCGGGCCACCAAGCGGGCGGCCCGGGAGCTGGCGGGGGACGACGAGAACTTCGTGGTCACGACGGACCTGGGCAACGAGTTTGCCACGCTGGACCGGGAGCCCCTCAAGAAGGACCTGGCCACGCGCGTGGCCCGCAAGGGCGGGCAGTGGAGCGACCACTTCGAGTGAGTTGCGGGGGCCTACAACGCCAGGCCACACGAGACGGTATACGGCGCGCCCGAGGACGTGGAGAAGCAGCCGGCCACCGAGTTCAGGGTGCTGCAAGACAACGCCGACAGGTTCCAGCACAACAAGGACTTGACGAACCGGCGCACGAAGGCCATAGAGGACGCGGGGGCGTTTCGGGCGCCCATCCCCAGTACGGCGACGTGCAGCGGCTGGCGGCCGTGGACTCCATGACCGTGCGGAGCACCGAGGGCCGGGAGACCCTGCTGAAGCTGGCCCTGCCGGCGCCGCAGGGCAGTGGCAACGCGGCGGGGCGGCTGACGAGGCGCGGCAGGCCCGCTGCGGCGAGGCAGCTGGACGACTTCCTGGGGCCCAGGCGGCCCAGAAGCGATTCGGGCCGCTGACCTTCTTGAGCATACTTGACGGAAGCAACATGCCTTAGCTTGTGGAGAGAAGTTTTAGCCCAAACACGACTTTGCGAATCTCGACCTTAGAGCGATCCCTGGACCCCGCCCAAAACGGCCATTCAGTTTGTGGATGCAAGCCTGACACCCATGGAACATGTGAAGCCTGTTGTGACCTTAAGTCCGCCCTGCTCCCACCTGCTAGCGCGATTTTTGTACACTCACAAAAGTTTCAGCACATCCAGCTGCGCAATGATGGTCTCGCAACTCATGAGAGAGTATTTCTTCTCCTCCTGACGTCTGGCCCATGTCTCGTTTGTAAAGGACTGCCAGCCTTCAGACTCACTGCAAAGTTTTCCTTGCCTGCATCCTTTTTCTTTCCATAACGACATTGCGCAGCAATGAACTCGAGCTTACCAGTTGCCTTGCATCTCACAGGGATCAAAAGGTCGTGGTGAGCCGTTGCAAAATTCCGGTTGGACTTGATGGCCTTCCCAACGTCACTGACTCATGACAGTTGCTTCATTGCCTTGGCCGCTTGGATATTCCACACCATCACTCCAACAAACTTCGAACGGCTCCAAAACAGCTCGTAGGGTAGATCTCCAAGAAAGGGACCCTGCCCCTGGCATTTGCAACCAGCTCTTCCCACTTCTCCCCCCTTTCAGTGGCACCCCTTGTTGGGCTGTTGAGCAACTGCAAGGAATCTGGCAGCAGCCCCTCCAGGTCAATGTTCGGCTCTTTCAAGCCCTCCCAAATCGTTTCGGATGGCGTCTTTGATATTGGTATCCTCACACCACCACAGCCGTGGAACCAGTACGGACTTGTTGTTTGGCACCTCAGTGAGGTTCCGGGCACAAGCTGGTGGCCTTCTGCAGGCCATCGAACCGCCGAGCAAAGAACCAACGCCAAAGCCACTTCTGGCTGATTGAAGTTGGGGGCTGCATCCGCATACGAGCTTCTGAACTCCTGCGACATGGCATTGAGTGCAACCTGCGCAACCGACCAACAAAAACGATCCCATATCCCATACCAGCCCACGCTCCCATGCCTGAGATCTTGTTTTGGACGCCACATGCCCTACAGCACACTCCGCATCTTTTAAACTTTCTCCATGCTGTTTCGCGTCTTCGGAACCTGCACCACCTGTACATGCACATTCTTAAACACTTTGTTTGGCCCCCGCGCCATCTCCATGAAGGCTCTGAACTCCTGTCCTGACTCCGGGGCGAACTTTGTGGGGTCCCCCGTAGTGAAAAAAGAGAGAGTGAAACTGTACTGTCCCTTGCAGTGTTGGAAAATGTCCCGCAGCTTTTCTAGAAAGCTCTTTGCGATGCTGTGCTTGGGACCAGTTGTCGCGGAGATGCCATGATTCAAGCCTAGCAAGTAATCGACGCCTACGTACTGTTCCGGGCTTTGCAGAAGGCATTTCTCAAGGCTGCCGTTCTTCACGGCCTGGCTCCATTTTCGCTCGAATATGTCCTTAGTGTCGCACCTCAGCAGCTGCAAATCCGCGTCAATCACCAAAGAGTCGCACAGAGTCCGTTCCCAGTTGGCTTTGCCTATCGAATTCTTGTCAGTGATGTGGTAGGCGTCAAACTTCTTCGGAAACCACGAGCAGGTCAGAAGGGGTCCAAGGAAGTCTTCAAACCAGTACCTGGAACGTGGATCGTTCTTGGTCCAGAGGTCAGCAAGCTTGTCATAGTGCTTATCTGCTATCACCTCTGCGGCCTTGGGGGAGACAACTTGGGCCGTGCCAATTTTGCCGTCCACGGTGACGTACGTGAAGAGCCTCGTCAACAGCTTGTTGCCTCGGCTGTCAAGAACATCGCCAAAAGCAGGCTGCAAGCCCTTCCAATCGTCAGCTTGATCTTTTTGATCCTGAAGGTACTTCTGGAAGCTTCCATCGTCGTCCAACAGGGCACGCAGGTTGCCTCCAACATATTGAAACCTGCGCAACACCGTGTCCTTGTCGACCGGAGGCTGTGCAAAATGCACATAGGCCAGTTCCAGCTCAGCCTTCTTCCATGCTTCTACGTACACACAAGCCCCACCGCTCTTCACAAAATCTGTGTAGTGCTCCCTGTCGGGGCTGCAGGCCTTGACCGTCTTGGCCGGCAGCTTCCCCGTGGTCTCCTTGCCGTAGGTATCCACCAAATACCAATTGTCGCTGTTCTGCAGGTGCTCGCAGGAACCTGGCTTCCAGTCCTCCAATGCTATGCTCTGCGCCTTCCAGTCACCGTCCTTGTTGGTGAAAATGAAGACCTTGAGGCCCTCCCGGGCCTCGTGGACGATGGCCTGGGGCTCTCTGCGTAGAGCAACTTGCGCAGACCAACTTGCACCGACCAGTTTGCGCAGAGCACCTTGCCTGGTGCTGTCTCGCGCTTGCTTCACGAAGTGTAGGGAAAAAGAACGCATCCTGCAGCGTTGGGCCGACCTCGCTTGCGATGTTCTGCTTTCGGGCCAACCGTGGTCTAGTTCTAATCGGAGACAGAAAAGGATGAAGCCAGACAAGCATGTGGAACTTGGGC